CAACCTGCCCTACCACAATGCTGGCCCCTACCTTATCCTTTAAAAATAGAAGCTTGCCTTGAACCTACATTGCTTTTGTAGTTGCAAGAAAAGTTCAAAGTACAAAATTAGGAAGAACGAACGGGGGCCACGTAGCTTCGTGCTTTCAGTCCGAGGTTTCAGTCGGCCAGCGGGGCGCACGCGCTGTTCAGCTTCCGCGCAGCTGCTTCGTGGGCGTGGTCACCCCAGAGAGCAGCACCGGAGGGGTGGGGTGCAGGGACCTGGGGTTGACTCTGATACTTCACTCGCTGTCGCTGGGTGGGTCCTTAAATCCTGTGGAACTAAGGGGGCTTCCCTGAAAAGTGGGGGGACCAGGAACTGCTTAAGGATCGTCGCGAACACTGGATGACACACGAGGGGTGTTTTTTGTTTTTTTTGTTTGTTTTTTGGTTTGTTTTTTTTTTTTTTTTTTTTTTTTTTTTTTTTTTTTTTGACAGGCAGAGTGGACAGTGAGAGAGAGAGACAGAGAGAAAGGTCTTCCTTTGCCGTTGGTTCACCCTCCAATGGCCGCCGCAGCCGGTGCACCGCGCTGATCCGATGGCAGGAGCCAGGTGCTTCTCCTGGTCTCCCATGGGGTGCAGGGCCCAAGTACTTAGGCCATCCTCCACTGCCCTCCCTGGCCACAGCAGAGAGCTAGACTGGAAGAGGGGCAACCTGGACAGAATCCGGCGCCCTGACCAGAATCCGGTGCCCCGACTGGGACTAGAACCCCAGGGTGCCGTCGCCGCAGGCAGAGGATTAGCCTAGTGAGTCACGGCGCCGGCCCACACCCTTTTCCTTCTAGCTGTAGATGACCATCACATGCTTGCAGTTTGAAACATTTGCTTCTTTGTGTTTCTCACCACTCAGTCTCCTGTCTTAGCACTTAGTTACTGAAACAGGAGGAAGAGGCCTGCGGCGACCCAGCTGGCCCTGGGTGCTCCATCGGGGTGCTCCATCGGGTGGTCGGCTGCTGCGGACTTTGGGGCCCGCCAGCCCTCCCCCTCCAGGACGCCCTGGCCTGCCCACTTCCTCCCTTTCCTGCCTGTGTTGCCCAGGCTCCCAGCCTTGCACCTCTGTGCAGGGGCCTCTCGTTCTGGGTCAGCTCTGTGAGCCTCCCCTGCGCCTCAGCTCCCATGAACCCCAAGTTCCAGAAGCTGGAGGCCCTGGGGCAGAAACGCTGGCGGCACTGCCCCCTGGCGTTCCCCCATTGGCCGCCGCGCCAGGCCCTGTCCCCGCCTTTGCCTCCGTGGTCTCTGCTGGCTGCTAGTCTTCCTCCTGCCAGCGTGCTCTCTCCTCAATGTCATCCATGTTCCCAAGTTCTGGTGCCACCTGCTGCAGCCACGCGGCGCTCAGAGGGCTTGCTTAGCGAGCCGCAGCCCAGGCCTTCCGTCACGCCCTCCTTTGCGCCGTGTGCCCTGTTCCTCTGTGCACCTCCCGTGCTGTCCTCTTGTCCGTGCCTGGCTCCTCTGCAGGGCCCACCCAGGCTGTCGTCACTGTCGATACGTTCTCTGTTCTCTAGACAGAATTAGCTTCGTGGTCCCCTCCTGGTGTGGGGAACAGCACCTGGCGCAGTGTTCTACGAGGCCGCTCCTGTGCCTTGGGTTCCAGGCCCCGCCCACGGCTGTTGGAATCAGGCAGATCCCTGGCGGCATCGCCGTGTGCTGCCTGTCCGTGCCTGCGGCAGCTCGCTTACTTCTGTGTTGTATCGGTCACCAGTGGGCGTGTGAGTAGTGACGCGCTGATGAGTCCGCACAGCTTGAGTTCTCACATAAACACGGCTCCAGACCCGAGGGGAGACCTCGTCAGCAGGGCAGGAACGCTAAAGTGATTACACCCTGGCTTTTTAGTAGTGGCTGGTCACCACAGAACGCCGCTGTCTTTGTTTACTTGCTTGTTTTCAGTGCCTTAATGAGAAACACGTTTCTGCTCACAGTCAAGGAAGATGGTGAGGGAGGAGTTTCAGACTGCTTGAAGTGAGATAAAAATAGACACGAGGCGGTTCCGGACGCTGAGGAGCGGTGCGTGCGGCTGCCTGTTCCCTCTCCCCTTCGTCGTGCCACAGTGCCTGTGCTGGTTACCCCCCTCCCAGTAGCGTGGCGGTCAGGGCGCGAGCACTGTGTGATGAGACATGCAGTGCGCAAGGTAAGTGTGTACTTCACTGGTGTGCGTGTTTTTTAAAGATGTATTTATTTTATTTTGAAGTCAGAGTTACACAGAGAGAAGAGAAGCAGAGAAAGAGAGAAAGAGAAAGAGAGATCTTCCATCCGCTGGTTCATTCCCCAATTGGCTGCAACAGCCAGAGCTGTGCTGATCCAAAGCCAGGATCCAGGAGCTTCTTCCCCGTCTCCCACGCCGGTGCAGGGGCCCAAGGACCTGGACCATCTTCTACTGCTTTCCCAGGCCATAGCAGAGAGCTGGATCGGAAGTGGAGCAGCCAGGATTTGAACCGGCACCCATATGGGATGCTGGCAGTGCAGGCAACAGCTTTACCCACTACAGCACAGTGCCAGCCCCTCATTGGTGTTTTTTAACAGCTCGTTGAATTTCGTCTTACAAACACATATTGTGTGGTGGGTGCTGTGGCACAGCGGGTAAAGCGGCCACCTGCAGTGCCGGCATCCCATGTGGGCACCAGTTATAGTCCCAGCTGCTCCTCTTCTGACGCAGCTCTCCGCTGTGGCCTGGGAGAGCAGTGGAAGATGGCCCAAGTGCTTGGGCCCCCGCACCCCCATGGGAGACCCAGAGTAAGCTCATAGCTCCTGGCTTCGAATCAGCCCAGCTCTGACAGTTGCAGCAATTTGGGGAGTGAACCAGCAAATGGAAGACCTCTCTCTGCTTCTGCCTCTCTGTAACTCTGCCTTTCAAATAAATAAATCTTTAAAAAAGACACACACATTGCTGTGTCACCTGCCTCCCTGTCTAGGTGTAGCCATCAGCTGAGCGTGACCTTGGGCTTGTGCTCAGACCCTGCTCTGTTCTTCGCAGGTGGAGTGGTCTTCCTGGCTGCGGGTGGAGACACTGCGCGCTCCTCTGGCCTCTTGTGCCCAGCACAGCATCTTAGAGATCTGTGCTGCGGCTTCTATCGGGGATCCTTCCCTTCTTTGCAGAAGCGCGTCGGTTTATGAGGATACACAGTGGTTAAAAGTCACCTCCTGTTGATGAACACTCGGGGGTTTCTAGTTTCGGGATATAAAGCTGCTGTGAGCGGTTTTTCTTTTTTAAGATTTACTTATTTGCGAGGCAGAGTTACAAAGAGGGAGGGAGAGACAGAGAGATCTCCCCATTTGGCTGCAAGAGCCGGAGCTGGGCCGATCTGAAGCTAGGAGCTTCTTCCAGTCTCCCACGTGGGTACAGGGGCCCATAGACTTGGGCCATCTTCCACTGCTTCCCAGGCCACAGCAGAGAGCTGGATTGGAAGTGAAGCAGCCGGGACTCGAACCGGTGCCCACATGGGATGCTTGTGCCACAGCGCCAGTCCCCTATGAAGGGATCTAGTACAAGTTTTGCGTTCGTTTTTCTTGGGTAAACACCTAGCAGTAGAACTGCTGAGTCATGGGGTCAGCGTTTACCGTTACTTTTTAACGTCGGATTGGGTATTTTGTCTCATTGCAGAAATCCTGCTGCATACCTAACGCTTACAAGTGGCAGTCCTATAGCTTGCAAGCCAGTTTCAGATTTTAAGATTTATTTAATTGAAAGAGAGAGGGGGAACCAGAGATCTTCCATCGGCTGGTTCACGCCCCAAATGGCTGCAACCTAGGCCTGGGCGGGGCCAAAGCCAGGAGCTCCACTTGGTCTCCCTCATGGGTGGCAGGCGCCCAAGGACGTGGGCCAGCTTCTGCTTTCCCAGGAAGCTGATGGGAAGCAGAGCAGACGGGCACTCTGGTACGAGAGCAGGGAGTCTTGGGGTGGCTTAACCCGCTATGCCAGAACGCCAGCCCCTGGTTTCAGATTCTAAATGTCGTTCACACGAGCTCACTGGAAAACAATTCAAAATGCTATTGGCCGGTGCCGCGGCTCACTTGGCTAATCCTCCGCCTGCGGCGCCGGCACCTCGGGTTCTAGTCCAGGTTGGGGCGCTGGGTTCTAGTCCCGGCTGCTCCTCTTCCAGGCCAGCTCTCTGCTGTGGCCTGGGAGTGCAGTGGAGGATGGCCCAAGTGCTTGGGGCCTGCATCCCATGGGAGACCAGGAGAAGCACCTGGCTCCTGGCTTCGGATCAGTGCAGCGCCGAGTGAACCAACGGAAGGAAGACCTTTCTCTCTCTCTCTCACTGTCTATATAACTCTACCTGTCAAATAAAAAAAATGCTATTAAGCATTTCAAGTTGTTGCCCATTGCACAGGTACTTAAATAAACGTACTGGGTGGTACCTCATTCTAAAGCTGCCTCGGTTCTTTAAGCAGCTCGGGATCCACCCTGAGCTGGCGTGGAGGGGCCTGCGTGCACGCCCTGCCGAGGGACGCCTCCTGAGGAATCTGGCAGTGGCTGGAGTGGGCAGAGGCCGCTGTAGCAGAGCCTGGCCCTGGTGGGGGCGGGGCACACAGGAAGCCGAGCGAGCTCTGGGGTCTTGGGAGACGCACCAGAGCGTGTGCGATGATGGCAGGAGCCCGCCTCTTGTGCACCCCCAGCCCGTTCACCGTCTCCCCCTCGCGCCTCCTGGTGAGCTGGTCTGGGGCTTCCCACTTCTCTCGCCCCTTCAGTGCAGCGGTGGATGGTTGAAATAAAGGCTAGCCAGGTTGGGTCTGGGTGGCCCCTGGGGTCCTCCCTGAGGGTGCTGGCTCACAGACTCGTAGTAAAAGCAGGAGGCCAACCTGGACAGATTCAGCTAAGTCGCTCGCGTCCGGCACAACTTAGATGAGCAGCGACTCCTCACTTAAGCGAGTTCCCAGTGACAGAGCTTCGTGGCAGGGAATGCGTGTCACTTCTGTACACTCTGAAAGGACTTGGTAACGAGGGAGCTGTCCTTCCTTGTCTTCCAGATCCTGTCACTCGGCAGCATGCGCCTCCAGACCCTGACCAGCAGGCGCCGAGCGTCCCCGTGATGCTCAGCGGCCGGCTCTGAGGTGAGTGTGCCGGCACAGGGCCGCCTTCCCGCCGTCGGGGTTGGTCCTTGGAGAAGGAGTCTGCATTGAGTGGGAGGAAGCGGGATGTGCGGGTGTCCCGGGACGCGAGGGGTCTGCCGCTGGCCTCAGCGTCTGGGAGACGGCGCTTCGTGGCGCGTGGGGATGCAGAGACAGGCTTGGGGGCGCAGGCAGGATGCCATCAGGTCACCAGCGAAGGAGAAAGACGGTGTGGCGGGCCCGTGCCTGCCTCTTGGAGACGGGCTTCCGCAGGGGCCGAGGGGGCGTGAGCGGGGCTGGCTCCCAGAAGCCTGTGCGTTGCGGTGTTGTGTCGCTGTTGCAGGGAGCTCCCAGGGTTCGGAGCGGGCTCAGTGTGGAGGAGAGCTTTCTCCGTTTCCTCCCCTCCCTTCCCGTTGCACTAATGAAGGGTGCTGCAGTGACTCAGCGGACGCGGCGCCCTTGGCACCGGGACGCGTCCAGCCTGACCTTGCTGCGGTCCGCGGTCGCTTTCCGGAGACGCAGTGACACGGGGCTCACAGGTTGTCCTGCGGCTGACTTGCAGTGGGAGTGTGGACCTCCACAGAGCACGGGCTCTCAGGGTCTGGGTGCCACCGGCCTAGCACAGCCGGTGTTGGGGTTCCTGTGCGGATGCCCTGCCGTCGGCACCCCCGCAGGGGCTGCGTCCTGTTCTCTCAGGCCCTGCACGGAGGCTGTGCTGCACTGGCTCAGATGTGGGCCTGTGCGCCTGGCAGGGACTCCAGGCCCTGCTTTCTGCGTGGAACTTGACGCCATCAGCCTCGTGCCCTGTGGAACCGTGGCTTGTCCTGCTGCCCAGCCAAGCACCCCTCCCTGTGGGGCGTGGCCCTGAGACGGAACCGTGAAGCAGGGTGGCCCTGGCTCAGTCCTTGGTGCTCTGAGCCCTGGATGGCGAGTCCCTGAGAAACTGACAGTGAAATCACCAGGCCAGTGGGGTCTGAGGCCGCGTCTGGTATTGAGCTGCCCTCAGCAAGCGTGCCCTTGGCTGTGCCAGACAGCGCAGGTGCACAGGGGGACCACTGGTGGGCGGCAGGGAGACCTCGGGCGGGCGGAGAGGTGTGCAGGACTGCCCTGGGTACAGAGGTGAGTGAGAGGAGGCCTGAAGAGGGCGCAGGCGTTTCCTCTCCCCTGTGAGCAGACGACGCCAGCAACTCTGGCCACGAGTGCCGCTCCTCCATGGAACCCCGATGGGAGAAGGCCGCACGTGGAGGAGGGTCACTAGGAAAAGTACGTTTTAGTTCCTGAAGCCAGATGCTGGATATAAAAATACAGGGAAGGTCTCACAGGAATGACTTTGGCGGAGGAGTCGATACCTGAAGGAAACTTGAACAAGATTCAAACAGCGTGAGGGGCCTTCTAGAAACAGGGCTCAAGGGCTGAAGACAGTGGAGAGAAATTGGGAACCTGCCACAGAAACATGGCCACGTGGTGCCAGAGCGAGCGAGGCGCCGGCGTCCGGGCAACGCTGGCCTCCCCTGTGAGTGCTGGCGCAGGTCCTGGCTGCCACACTGGGGAAGCAGCAGAACGTGGCCCCTCCACCCCGGGGTTCCAGGCTCCTGGCTGTGGCCTAGCTCGGCCCTGGCCGTTACAGCCATTTGGGGAGTGAGCCAGTGGATGGAAGGTCCTTCTGGCTCTCCCTCCCTCTCTCCAACTCTTTCAAATTAATAAGTCTTTAAAAAAAAATCTTAAAAAGGAAAAGAAGAGGGAGAAATGGGAGTGAACGGGGAACAGAGAGGGGCCAGGTGCGAACCGTGAGCTCCGCGAGCAGGCACCCGTGTGAAACAGTGGGCGGCCGGGCATGGCTGGTCGGCGTCGGGGAGTGCTCTTCGGGGGTGCTGTGTGCATCCCGTGCGGGACTCTGGGGCGCAGGCTGCTGTTCTATGTTGCGCAGACTGGACCTCTGACCCTGCGTGGCTGTGTCGCCGTGGAGGTGACAGTTTTGTGTTGTAGGCAGAACCTGTACTGTGCGGTTTAGTGTGTCTAGACAGTAAAACAAGAATGTGAAAGGTTGGGAAACTCACATCTTAACTGGTTCTGTTCTTTTCTGCTGTGTGCATTTAGACAAACACATCACATTGAGTGTTCAAGTGGGTGTGTGCAGGAGTGGGTGTGTGTATTTGTGTGAGTGGTGTGTTTGAGAGAGGTGTGTGTGTGTGTGTATGAGCTGTGTGCAGGGGTGTGTGTGAGCTTGTGTGTGTATATGAGTGTGTGCAGGGGTGTGCTTGAGTTTTGTGTATGTGCGAGCTTTGTGTGTTCAGGGGTGTGAGCTTATGTGTATATGAGCTGTGTGCAGGGGTGTGCTCGTGTGTGTATCAGCTGTGCAGGGGTGTGTGCGAGCTGATGTATGTACATGTGAGCTGTGTGCAGGGATGTGTGTGAGCTGGTGTGTATGTGTGTGCGAGCTGATGTGTGTACATGTGAGCTGTGTGCAGGAGTGTGTGTGCAGGGATGTGTGTGAGCTGGTGTGTTTATGTGCAGGGGGTGTGTGAGCTGGTGTGTTTACGTGCAGGGGGTGTGTGAGCTGGTGTGTTCATGCGCAGGGGTGTGTGCAAGCTTCTGCGTGCGTGTGCGTGTCCTGTGAGCCTCACCGGCTGTCGCCCCTGCAGGGTGCGCCGGGAAACCATGCAGCCATCAGGACACCGACTCCGGGACGTCGAGCACCACCCGCTGCTGACTGAGAATGACAACTACGACTCCTCGTCCTCCTCGTCCTCCGAGGCCGACCTGGCGGACCGGGTGTGGTTCATCCGCGACGGCTGCGGCATGGTCTGCGCCGTCATGACGTGGCTTCTGGTCGTCTACGCGGACTTCGTGGTGACCTTCGTCATGCTGCTGCCCTCCAAGGACTTCTGGTACTCCGTGGTCAACGGGGTCGTCTTCAACTGCCTGGCGGTGCTCGCCCTGTCCTCGCACCTGCGGACCATGCTCACCGACCCCGTGAGTGCGCACTGGGGCAGGGCCCTGCCCCGGAGGCCGCGGGCTGTTGCTTCACCTCTTTCTCTGCTAGCTGGGGAGGAAGCTTGCTGAGCCAGGAGTGAGGTCGTGGCCCACGGGCGCTGTGGCCTACGGCTGTTTGCTCATGGGGAGAGACTGCCAGACAAGGGTGCTTGGCAGCTCTCTGGTTTAATCCTCTCTAACAGAGGAACATTTTTTTTTTTTTTTTTTTTGCCAAGGGCCATAAAGATGTTTATAGCATTATTCATAAACCATACAGAATTACCAACCCAGCAATTAGCCTGCTGTAGCTTTATTGAATTTCAGGTCCCATTGAGGCTGCCTCCGCAGGGCCTTCCCCACCCGTGCTCTCAGAGATGGGCTGAGGCCTGGGCTCGTCCGGTTCCGCCGCTTTGCTCCTCTTTGCTGACGTCTTCTGACAGGACGCGGCCGGTTTCCGTTCTTCAGGCTGAGGGTCAGAGGTATCCAGGACGCTTCCGGCCTGTGCTAAGACCGGGAGCAAACGGTGCCCTTGGTTATCCGGTCCCAGGCAGGGCTCAGCCTGCGCAGCCGAGAGGGGGGCTCCGGTGAGGAGGGGCGGCTGCTACTTGGAGGAAACCAGAGTGGAGGTCCCCAGGGCAGAGACCCTGTCGGCTGAGAACCGGCGGTGGTCGTGGCTTTGGCAGCTGGGAGCTGAGCTGCCGTGGGTGGGAGCCTCATCTGGCTGGGGTCTGACGGCGTCCTGCTCATTTCCGCGTTCCCGGCAGAACGCCCGCGGGCGCCACACCCGCCGCTGCCTGGAGCTGCCCTCGGTTGCTCCACTGTGGAGTGCGGCAGATCAGGGGTTTCTCTGGGAGGTTTCCCTGGAGGAGCTCTGTCCAGGTGACCGTCTCCCTGGCTGTGGCCCCAGGCAGGTCCCTGCCCGTGGGCGTCGTGCAAGGCTTCCTGCTGTGTGTGCGGGAGGCCCCGTGCAGTGGAGACGTCGCTCAGTGCCTCCTTAGCTCTGCTAACAGGGGCGTTTCTCCCTGGTTCCTCTAAACCTGCCGACACCCAGCAGCCAACCCCGTCCCACCTCTCCCCTCCCTTCTGGGAGGGCCTTTTTTTTTTTTTTTTTTTTTTTGACAGGCAGAGTGGACAGTGAGAGAGAGAGACAGAGAGAAAGGTCTTCCTTTGCCATTGGTTCACCCTCCAATGGCTGCTGTGGCCGGCGCACCGCGCTGATCCGATGGCAGGAGCCAGGTACCTATCCTGGTCTCCCATGGGGTGCAGGGCCCAAGCACTTGGGCCATCCTCCACTGCACTCCCTGGCCACAGCGGAGAGCTGGCCTGGAAGAGGGGCAACCAGAATCCGGCGCCCCGACCGGGACTAAACCCGGTGTGCCAGCAGCAGATGAGTTCGGGGTGCTGCGTGTGTGCCGCTGCCGAGAACACAGAGCGCAGCCCGGCGCTAGGCTGGGGAGGAGCCGGGGGTCTGTGTTGGAGACGGAGCTGAGACGGGGTGCGTGAGGCGCAGCTGGCTGTGCCGAGACAGGGTGCACGCGTGTCAGGTTGCAGGCGTGAGGCGCGGCTGGCGGAGCTGAAAGCATCGCACGCCCCGGCGGCCTCAGGCCCTCACCACTAGCACGTGTGGACGCTTTTGTCACCCGTAGAGCAACCCCTCCCCGGCCCTGTCTGCTTTCGTCTCGGGCCTTGGCCGTCCTGGACGTGGCGCAGCAGTGGTCACACTGCGGGCGGCCGTGTCTGCTTCCCTCCGTAGTCCCTGTGTGCAGGTGTCGGCCTTCACTCCACGCATGCCTGTCCGTCGTCACCACCAGGTGATGGGCATCCGGGGTTTTCCGCTCTTCGGCCGTTCTGGATGGTGCTGCCGTGACGTCTGTGTGGCTGTTCACTTCTCGTGGGGACTTGAGGCGTGGACTCGCGGGTCATTGGCAGCAGCGCTCGGCCGAGCCAGGCCATGCTCAGCGGCTGCACTGCTGGCTCCACCAGCCCTGTCTGCGCCCTCACCAACCCTTGCTGCGCGCTGTGGTTTTGATTTGCATTTCCCTAACCACTAGCGATACTACGCATCTCTTCACAGGCCTGCAGGCTAGGTGTACGTCAGCTTCCAAGAAATGCTTAGCTGAGGCCTTTGTCCATTTGGGTGGCTCGCCTTCTGCCATGCTGCCTGTACCCCAGGGACATGCTGCAAAAGCCCCTGGGAGTCCGTGTACAGCCAGCCGGGGTCACGGTGTCTGAGGAGCCCCCGGGCGAGAGTGCCTCAGCCCTGCCTGTGGAGTGGGATGCCAGGAAGCGGAGGGACAGGCTGGAGGACGCCCTGTGCACGGTCTCTGGGGTCCCTGCACTTGGCACGCCGGCTCTCCTGGTACAGAGGGCAGAAGGGCCGCTGCACAGACCAGGCCCAGCTGACCCTGCGTCCACACTGTCCTGTGTGTTCTTCTCTCACCTGAGAGTGGGTGGGATCCGGGGGCGGGGGTCGCTGTCGCTATGGAGGAAATGGGCACTCTCCCTTGGGCCATTGCGGCAGGTGCTGTCGGCCTCCGCAGTGGCACTTGGGACCCCCTGGTGCACAGCATCGGCTCTGCCAGCCAGCCCCAAGGGCCTGGGTGACCGTGTTGGCCATGGGCTGGGGTCTGCAGCTGTGAGGGGCTGCTCCTGCTCTGGCCCAGCGTCCCCTCCAAACAGGCCCCCAGGAGCCCCTGGCTGCGCCTTGAGAGCCATCTCCGCTCAGCTCCTGTTGCACCAACTCCTCTCCCGTCTCCTGTCCTGGACGACACCTGCGTGTCTGAGATGGAGGTGCACACGGGCTCGGGGCTGTCAGGCCTCTGTAAAACCCGAGTGGCCTGCAGCAGAGTTGACACGCTTAACTGTCTAACAGAGAGAGACAGAGAAAGGTCTTCCTTTTTCCATTGGTTCACCCCCCAAGTGGCCGCTACGGCTGGCGCGTTGCGGGACAGAATCCGGCGCCCCGACGGGACTAGAACCCAGGGTGCCGGTGCTGCAGGCGGAGGATTAGCCTAGTGAGCCGCGGCGCCGGCCGACACCCTTAACTTCTGAGCTTCTCTGAACAGTTTGAGTGTTAGAAGCCGTGGGGTCTTGACCAGAACCGCTCCCACGATGGGGAAACAGGACTGCTCAGCCCTCGTGGGGAGGCCGGCTGCGGTCAGGCCAGGTGGCGACGCCACCCTCCCCCCGCGTCTCCTTCCTGTGATGTGTCTGCTACTGTGGGGTCCCTGCCCAGCTCTGCTCGGGGTCTCCCACGGCCCCTGCTGCCTCTTGCCACTCGTCCAGGCGTCCTCCCTTCATTCCTGCTGCCTGCATGGACTGCCGTCCCTGACCCCTCCCGGGGCCTGCTCTCCAGCGCTGTCGTTTCCCTGTGAGCCCAGGCCCTGGCTCGAGGCCTCTTCCCTACCTTGAAGCGCCAAGAACTGCCACGTGATTCTGCCTGCCGCCTCCAGTGCCACGGCTTCCAGAAGCGTCTCTCCCAGCGCGAGGCCATCGCAGGCATCCACTGCCCTGGGACGCAGCCTTCCTGCGTTTGGTTTTTGTTCTATAAGATTTAGTCCCTGGCACCCGCCCACCCCCAGTTCGCAGTGGAGGACTAAGGCGATGCAGAGCAGGATCCCCAGGGACAAGAAACACCTTCCAAAGGTTTTGCTCTCTCCTTCCCTCCGTCTTGCCAACTCCCAAGGCCCGAAGCTACACTCACTCATGCAAACACACAAAACCCCACTGCCCATTTTTTTGGACACCAGCACTCACCTGTAAGACATGCGGGCCCTGGGAGGAGCGAAGGTGTCCAAAGCCTGTGTGAGGACCCCAGAGTGGGGAGATGGCACGCCCCTTAATCTTCACACAAAGATAAGTGACGGAAGCAGGCACCCGGCTCTTCCCTTCTCACTGTTAACTACTTGCACGCCCTGGGCTCTGTACCTCATCCACCAGCCAAGGGCAGACGTTTGCACACGCCCACCCGCGGCACGTGGAGATGAGCTCTGTCCAGCATCCCTCACTCGGGGGTAGGGGTCCCTGAGGATCAGCGAAGGGTTGAGAGGGAACGCGGACAGAAGGGTTTGGCTTGAGCTCTGACCGAGGAGGCAGAGGCTGTAGGCGGGCACAGGTTTAGAACCGACACGGTTTCTGGGCTTTTGTTTCACGTGATTTCGCTAGGGGCTGCGGAACGGATGCCCCTCAGAGGGTCTCTGCTGATGACAGACTCGCTAACGGCCATCCTTAAAGGAGGCCCTGCCCAGCGGGGAAGCAGCAGCAGGAGCACGAACAGCTGGTGCAGGAGAGCTGGAGGCTCCCACAAGAACCCACGCGCTGTCCCCCCCCCCCCCCCGGCGTTGCTGCGTCTCCAGAGGAGGAGCGGGGGCGGAGCAGGACCCTAGACGTGGGTCTGGTATCGCTTTGTTCACGGCTCAGCTCTGCCGCCGACCGGATGTCCCCTCCCTGGGTCGCCAGCTGTGGTCCTGCTCCAGAGGGACGCCTGGCCCGCCTGCGGCTGGCTCCTCTGGCACTAGGGCCGCAGTGGGCAGGTTTGCGCGTGGAGGCACGCGGTGAGCCCGGCCGAGCGCCCGGTGTGGGGTGACGCTACAGCACGAGATAGGTCCACTTGGAGATCTGGTTTGCTGCTCCCTCGCGGCTGACAGGACAGCCCCGTGGCAGCATGGCCAGACCCCTCCCATGGGGCTGGGCACCGGGAGGGGCGGCACCAGCACCTTGTCCTGGCCTGTCCGCGGTAAGTTGGAGAGCCCACGGACGGTTTCTCAGTTTGCGGGGGAGGTAGTGGGGACTCGTTTTTGTGTGTATTTTCATGCTGGTTTTTGGTGGAACATAGAGCTCCCAGCCCGGTCAGGGTCACCGTCCTTCCTCGTGTTGTCGTCTGTAAGCGGCAGCTACAGCACCGCCTGTGGTTTGCTGACGGGAGCCTCAGGCCCTGCACACTCGCGGCTTGGGGCTCAGCTGCTTCTCGCCACGTCAGAGCGTCCTCCTTGCCCGCAGGGGGCGGTGCCCAAGGGAAACGCCACCAAGGAGCACATGGACAGCTTGCAGCTCAAGCCCGGGGAGGTGATCTACAAGTGCCCCAAGTGCTGCTGCATCAAGCCCGAGCGCGCCCACCACTGCAGGTACCGGCGGGAGCCCCAGCACCGGGAGGGCCGGAGCAGGCGGGCGGCGTCCCGCGGAGGCTGAGCAGCATCTGCCTTCACCCGGCTCCCGCTGACGCGGTCGCCCTCTGGTTTCTCCCTCACCCTGGCAGCCTGTGTGCTCCTGCAGGGGAGGCTGACGGGCGGTGCCTGCACTCCCCAAGTCATGGTCACAGGGCCCAACCACGGGGCGGGGCTGCACCTGCAGGGTGTCTTCCCTTCCTGGGTCGGATATGCCGAGATGAACGTCCGAGCATGAGCTGGGGACCATCTGATGGATGCCGGCAGGAGAGAACCAGAGTCCAGGGGGCTCTGTCTCCCTTACGGCTGCCGGGGGAAGTTCTAGAAGATTCACACCCACACAAGTGCCAGAAAAAGCAGAGGAAGGGGTGTAGTCAGAGTGGAGCAGTAACCCCGGGGGGAAGGAGGGTGGGGGGGACAACACGGCATGGGGCTGGACTGCCGTGGAGCCAGGGGCACGCGCCATGGGGCTGCTTCAGGGGACGACAGCCGTGTCCCAGAGCTTGGGGGGAGGCATAGAGCACAGAGCTGCTTCAGGGGACGATAGCCGTGTCCTAGCGCTGGGGGGGGGTGGCACAGAGCATGGGGCTGCTTGAGGGACAACAGCTGTGTCCTAGCGCTGGGGGGGGGGCACAGAGCATGGGGCTGCTTCAGGGGACGACAGCCGTGTCCTAGCGCTGGGGGGGACAGAGCATGGGGCTGCTTGGGGGACGACAGCTGTGTCCCAGAGCTGGGGAGGGGGACAGAGCACGGGGCTGCTTCAGGGGACAACAGCTGTGTCCTAGCGTTGTGGGGGGGTGGCACAGAGCACGGGGCTGCTTGAGGGACAACAGCTGTGTCCTAGCGCTGGGGGGGGGGGGGGCAGAGCATGGGGCTGCTTCAGGGGACCACAGCCGTGTCCTAGCGTTGTGGGGGGGGGGGGGACAGAGCACGGGGCTGCTTCAGGGGACGACATCCATGTCCTAGCGCTGGGGGGGGGGACAGAGCACAGGGCTGCTTCAGGGGACCACAGCGTGTCCCAGAGCTGGGGAGGGGGCACAGAGCACGGGGCTGCTTCAGGGGACCACAGCCGTGTCCTAGCGCTGGGGAGGGGGCACAGAGCACGGGGCTGCTTGGGGGACGACAGCCGTGTCCCGACACTGGGGGGCGGGGTCACTGGCTCGTGTGTGCCGCGGGTGAACTTTGATGGCTTGCAGAGCACAATAAATCTGTGTAAAAAGGTGAAATGGGAACTTTGGGCAGGTCACGGGTGATGGGCAGGTTACGGGTGATGGGCAGGTTACGGGTGATGGGCACACAGACATCAGGCTGAGAAGCTGAGGTGGGGAGAGGTGACGCCGTGCAGCCGTCCCTGGCGTGAGGAGGTGTGCTGCCCTGGGTGTTGGGCTCAGTGTGGTGACACGCGCGAGCTCCCTGAAACACAGCTGACAGCGAATCAGCTTCAAGTCAGTCAGGTGGCCTTGGGCGTGGCAGGAACACGCTCAGTGAGCGGTCAGCTTTTGTGTTTCATTGAAGGGGACTTTTAACTTGCAGGCTTGCAGCTCTGGGCCCTTGACTGGTCGGGTTGTGTCGGGAGGGCTTGGGAACCTGGGGCGCGTGGCTCTGGGGAGCAGACCTTGCGTTCCCCGGCTCTGAGCCTTCCAGCAGCGGCGAGGCTGCACTGTGGCGGCCGCCCCGTCCACCTCCCCGGCTTTCCCGCAGTTACGGTGCCCTGGCGTGTCTCGGGCGTGGGTGCTGAATACACACTCTGCTTTTCAGTATTTGCAAAAGGTGTATTCGGAAGATGGATCACCACTGCCCGTGGGTGAACAACTGTGTGGGGGAGAAGAACCAGAGGTTCTTTGTGCTCTTCACCGTGAGTACCGCCGCCGCCGAGTGTGAAGCCCTTTAGCCAGAAGCTCCCCTGGTGGGGGGTTATTCAGACCCCAGACGTGGGAGGGCGGCCCCACGGGCAGACTGGGCCGCCTGACTGCCGGTGCTCGCCGGGCCTTGTTCCCCGTCGGGCCGCATGCCGCTGTTGCTGACCGCGTGGTGACTTCACTTGGTCCACTGTGGTCCTGGGCAGGCGGCAGGCAGCCTCTGGTCCTCCGCTCGCGCTGCGGAGGCGCCAGCGTGGCGTGCGTCTCCGCCGCTGCTCCTGGGAGATCGCGTGGCTGCATTGCTAACCGGCTCCCCTTCCTTGTAGATGTACATAGCGCTGTCGTCCATCCACGCTCTGATCCTCTGTGGGCTGCAGTTCATCTCCTGCGTCCGTGGGCAGTGGACTGGTGAGCCGACTCCGTGGGTCACGTTACGGGGGCCGAGGGGCAGCTATACGGGAGGCAGGCACTGTGGCTGTCATCACTATTTATTTCCTTAGGCTTCAGCGTGGCCATTTTGCCGAGGTACTGAGGTCACATAATTGTGGTCACCTCCAACGGCGCGTGTATTCGTGTCTGCAGACGCTTGAGGCTGGGGGAGCACAGGTTTCTCTCACCAGACCTTGTGCGTGTTTTCTGGGTGGCCGGCTGGCCACTGCCAAGGGCGGCCTCAGTGTTGACTGGGTGACCTCGGCAGGGGTGCCGGAGCCGGTTCTTGGCTGTCCAGCCGAAGTGCAGCTCCTTCCCACCCCAGGGAACACGTGCTGCCCGGCGTTGGCCGCGCTGTAAAAGCAGTTCCGTACCCAGATACTCACAGTGGGCGTGGCAGCCTCAGGAGGTGGGGTGTGCGCCTTCCCCTGCCCCTCGGGCACGGCGGCCGTGCCTGCTGGCAGCGTGAGACTTCCCCGGGAGCTGGCCCGGCGGCCCCGGGGCTCCTCTCTGAGCTGAGACCACGCCCCGCCCCGTGACATGCTCCTGTGCACGCGGTCCCAGCCACGCTCTCGTCCACAGAGTGCAGCGACTTCTCTCCCCCGATAACTGTAATCCTGTTGATCTTCCTGTGCCTTGAGGGGCTTCTGTTCTTCACGTTCACGGCCGTCATGTTCGGCACCCAGATCCACTCGATATGCAACGACGAGACGGTAGGCTGTGCCCCGCCCCGTGCACGGGGGGGGGGGGGGGGGGACGCCGCGTCAGCGGAGGTCTGGAGGGGCGTGGGTCCCCGTGTCTGCTGCTCTGTCGTCACACACGCGTGCGCGAGCTTCCAGTCTCGGGAGGGCCAGGCCGGGCCCCAGCAGCGCCAGCATTCACCGTGTGCCGCGGGTGGAGTTGGCGCTCGGTGTTGGTGTGGAGTCAGACAGCAGTGAGGCTGGCCGTGCTCCTGCAGCCTGTGGGGCCGGGGCTGGGGTCGGGGCCGGGCTGCAAGGGGAGCCCACGCTTGCTGGAGCCGCCCTCTCTCCATGGTGTGGGAGGCGGAAGCTTGGCGGCGGCCCCCGTTACGGCCGTGTGGTCTGACCCGGCCTGCCAGGGCGTCCCAGAGCTGCCGCCCACCCGCCTGCCTCTGCTTGCAGGAGATCGAGAGGTTGAAAAGCGAGAAGCCCACGTGGGAGCGGAGGCTGCGGTGGGAAGGGATGAAGTCCGTCTTTGGGGGGCCCCCCTCGCTGCTCTGGATGAACCCCTTTGTTGGCTTCCGACTGCGACGGCTACAGACGAGACCCAGGAAGGGAGGCGCCGAGTTCTCCGTGTGAGGCCGCCCGCCGGGCTGGAGCTCAGCCACGTTCCGTCACTCACTCGGGGTCTGCAGGGTCCGCGGCTCCCTGGCCTCCGTGACCCCTGGGCAAGCTGAGGCCTTGTCCGTGCCGCTGACCGGAGGGCAGCTGGATCCGTTAGGAATTCTTGCGATCACAGGGGTTGCTGAGTCCTGTGTACTGAGCTCTCTTCAGTCTCACTGCAGGGAACAAGAATTCTGCACGCGGGCGTGTCAGGGCGTCCCCCGGCGCTTCACCACGGCTGGGTGCCTCGCACGGACGGGCAGCTTCCGGCACATGGCCCGCTGCCCGGCGCAGGCCCCCAGGCCTCTTCCAGAAGTCCGTGTGCGTGTGTGTGCACTGTGCGTGTGTGCATGTGTGTCCCACAGCAGTGTTCAGGCGCCGTGACCTCCAGCGGCCGTGTCCGGCGGACAAGCTGTTCTGCGGACGCCGAGGCCTCAGGGAAGGGGCGGGCGCGGCGCTACGGCGCACTCCCTGTGGACGTACTGCGGGCAGAGCGCGTCTCGATCCAAAGAACAGGCGTGCGCGCTTCCCTGGGCCCCTGCTCCCCTTTAGTTAAACATCTAGACAGCGGCTGAGGGCCGTGGAACTGGGTTGGTTTTTTTTTCATGTTCCAACCAAATTAGCAGTGTAGACAGGCACCTCAGCGAGACAGGCGGCGGCCTCGTGCCGTGCAGTGCCGTGCTGACACAGGTGTGGGGAGAAGCAGGGGCCGCTGAGGGGACCCCCGGCCAGGTGGTGACAGACTTGGCCAGAACGCAAACAGCTCCCCTCGGGGACTTGCCTTAACTCGCCGGCCGCGTCCAGCAGTGGCTTGTGACAGTCCAGGGCTTCCGCTGGGTCTCCCCGCCGGGGGCTGTTCTGTTTGTCTTAATTACCCCACACCCTGTCCTGGCCAGGGCTTCTGCCACTGCCAAGGCAGCCCAGGCAACCCGCTGGGGGCACGGGCCAGCTGAGCGAGCAGACCGGGAGTTGGCAGGGCACCGGCCGTGTCACAGCAGGGGGACAGACGCAGCTGGGGGGCCAGGAGCCAGATCTGCTTCCGGAGATGGCTTGCATCTTCATTTGCACACCTGGGTGGTTCGCGTGTCCTGGGCTCTGGCGTGAGGCTGTCCTCTGTCAGTGGAGTCCCGCAGCGGCTGAGCCCTGTGCGGCTCGGCAAGTCTGTGCACACCCAGGATTCTTGAGTTGTCAACCTCTTCTTGCAATGTAACTTTTTTATGAAATAAAGTAACCAATGACAGTTCTCGCGCCGCGTAGTTCTTTGTGGACATCTGTCCAGGCCGTGCGGTCCATCTGTGTGTGGGCGCCGCCTGCTGCGGTCACGGCCACTTTCCAAAACCTCCTGCTGGTCCGGCCTCAAGGGCTCACAGATGGGGCCGCCCACACACCCTGTGCTAGCCTTTCAGCTGACGCACGGCCTCCCGCTTCACTCACCCCAGCACTCGGGCCACGGTCCTGTGGTGCGCATTTAAATAACAGGTCGCCTTCCAGGGCCCAGAACGTCAGGTACCGAGATCTAAGTTCAGCCAGCACCGTGCAGGAGTGTGCATGCGTGAGCCGGCCGAGCAGGTGCCGTCCGAGGCGTTTGAATCGGGTGCCGGGCGGGCAGCGGCTCCCCGCTCCGAGCCGGCCGTGCTGTCCCTGTCCCCCTCAGGACAGCGCTGTGCTGCCTCGTGACAGGGATCCGACACGAGTACCGAGCCAGTGCGCACCCCTGTGGACCACCCCGCCCTGCGTGTGCAGGAGCCATCTGTACCCCTTTCCTAACTCCTGCAGATTGGATGAGGGGCCTAGGACACCCATGACACCCGTGATGCCTCCTAGCTCGCGCCGGCTGCCGCCTCCCAGCTGGGGTAATGTCCAGTTCCTTCATCCTCCCGAGGAACCAGCACACGGTCTGCCCTTCCGCACAGCTCGCTCAGGGTGCTGGGCCTCATTTTCAGTCCTCTGAGGCCCGCCTTAACTTCTCTCCCAGCAGCCCCACCCAGCTCACTCCACCTCCCTGGCTCCCCGGTGGAGGCGTTCCTGGGGCCCAGAGCGAGTGAGACACGGAGGAGCCATGTGTCAGGACCCTGTGGGGAGCCAGCCCTTCCTGAGGGAGCCCCTGGGTGCCCGCAGGAGGCTCCCCCACCAGCAGCCCAGCCGGCGCAGAAGGGCCCGAAGGCCTGCCTGGCTCCAGCCAGCACATCCCTGCTGCCCCGAGCCGCGCCAGTATCCTCACATCCAGAGGGTGTAACTGGACCCCTCGTGGCCAGAGGCTGGCCGCCACCGACAGAGGCCTCTTCCCAGCCTGCCCACCTCACACCCGGGACCACTCGGGTTCCCCACATCCCTGGGAGGCAGCGCGGCTGTTGTGGCCACTTCATGGTGGGGAGAGGGAGGCACCGGCCGCTGACCATAGTCCTCAGTGCAGCAGCCCACGCTCGCCCAAACGGCACACCTGCTGACCGAAACCCTCTTCCTCTCTGCCCTTTGCTAACCCTCGCTGCCGTCGCCGTCTCCCGGGGAAGCGGGCTGGAGGGGTTGCTGTGGGACCCCTCGGTGGCAGGCAGTGCGGGTGTTGTGTTTATTAACATTAGGGGCTTGGCAGCAGTGGCAATACCAATCATAGTGCAAGGAACCTGCTGTGTGGGCGGGGGGGCTGCCTCCAGCTCACCTGGTGACCCGCAGGACTCCATGAGGACCCAGGTCTTCATGGGCTTGCGCGGGTGGCACGGAGCTGGGGAGGCACCTGCAGGAACACGGGGTTGGAGCCTCAGTGCGCATACTGACCACCAGAGGGCGCCAGGGGACAGCAGATGCTGCCCAGACCCGCACACAACCAGATCCACTCACTGCTGGGTCAACCATCCATTTGGGCCACATATGTTTAGAATTGTTTGTTAAATTTTATTTTGAAAGGCAGAGAGAGAAGCAGATATATAAACAGATCTCCCATCACTGGCTCACTCCCCAAATAGCCAGGTGCTAAAGCCGCAGCCGCGTCTCCTACGTGGGCAGCAGCGACCCAAGGACCCGAGCCGCCCGTTGCTGCCCCCGGGCCTGTGTTAGGAGGAGGCTGGCATCCAGTGCAGAGCCAACTCGAGAACCCGGGCGCTTGGACGTGGGGTGCAGGAGACCGGCGCCCCAAACGCTCCCAGGACTCCCCGAAGCCCAGACAAAGCAGGCTGCCGGTGAGTGGCTCCAAGGCGGCTCCCCCGGGTGGGTCCTAAGTGGCTGTCAGGCGGGAACACGGCATAGGTGGAGCAGGGGTGGGGTCTGCGTGGCTTCTCTGGTCCCTGCCTGCACAAGGCCAGCTGACTGCAGCCACGGTGGCCTCGAAGGCTGGCCCTGGCCCAGCCTGCAGCGCTCCCAGCTCCTCGGACAAACCACTCGTCCACAGCCCTGGGTGGCCGTGAGCTGCACTGGGCCCCCAGGGGACGGAGCACATGGATGGGGCTTCTGCTGCGGCCAGGCAGAGCCGCCCGCAGGGCCACACACGCGCCGGACAGCAGCCGGCTGGGCCTCCTGCACCTGCTCTGCTCCTCCAGGAGCCCAGGGCTGAGGTGGGGGAGTGTGGGGGCCTCCCTCCAGGTGCCCGGGGCTGAGGTGGGGGAGTGTGGGGGCCTCCCTTCAGGTGCCCGGGCTCGGGGGGGCATGGGGCCCTCCCTCCAGGTGCCCGGGGCTCAGGGGGGGGCATGGGGGCCTCCCTCCAGGTGCCCTGGGCTCGGGGGGGGCATGGGGGCCTCCCTCCAGGTGCCCGGGGCTCGGGGGGGCACGGGGGCCTCCCTCCAGGTGCCCGGGGCTCGGGGGGGGCATGGGGGCCTCCCTCCAGGTGCCCAGGGCTGGAGAAGGGGAGCGTGGGGGCCTCCCTCCAGGTGCCCGGGGCTAGGGGGACATGGGGGCCTCCCTCCAGGTGCCGGGGGCTTTTGGGGGGGCACGGGGGCCTCCCTCCAGGTGCCCAGGGCTCGGGGGGGGGCATGGGGGCCTCCCTCCAGGTGCCTGGGGCTTGGGGGGCATGGGGGCTCCCCCCCACAGGCAGCGGGGGCAGGGGGCACTGAGACCCCAGATGCTGCCGTCACGCACACCTTGGTGAGAGCCGCTGGCGCCCCTCCAGGCGCGTTCCCCGTGGGGGCCGCACTGCAGCCGCTGCCGAAGATGCCGGGCCTCACCCAGACCCGAGTCAGAGACTGGGGGGGGGGGGGGGGGCTGGGCACCGCCAAGGCTGTCATCCGTCTGCGTCCCCCAGGTGACTCAGGCCGGCGCCTGCTACGGCAAGACTGGCACTGGCACGGCCAAGGTTGTAACTGACACCAGTGCCCCGCCCCTTCACGAACGCTGCTGCCTGGGCTCCAGGGCGGAGTTCTTTAGGCAGGCGCCCGCCCTCCACGGGCAGTAACGGACCCCGGCATTACCTGCGCGGTCCGCGGCCCAGCACCGGCCCAGGCATGGCCATGTCCCCAGGGCTCCTGGGGGCCTCCCTGGGCACGGGCCGGGTACCACGGGCCCTGCATTGTATTTTCAATCACAAAGATGTTGATTATTTGAGCGCTTCTGTCTCCTGGTTTGCTCCACAAACGACTCCAACGGCTGAAGCTGGGGACCAGGAACTTGGTCCCGGAGCTGGGAATAGAACCCGGGTACTCCCATGGGGATGGGGGCGCCTCACCTGGCCCCTTAACCACGAGGGTGAGCACGCACCGAGCCCACGCCTGCCCGGGAGCAGCTCCAGGGGCCGGGACGCAAGGCAGGGCCGCCCTGGTGAGCGGCCGGCAGCTGGGGGCAGCGCCGTGGGTGGGACTGTGGCCGTCACTTCCTGTGCAGTGTGTGTGATATGGTGGCGGGAGGCTCTGTGCCTGCGTGCTGTGTCTGCACAGACGCGCTGCACACGTGTGTGCGTGCTGCACACACGCACACCTCCCTCTGCGCTGCACTGGGCCGCTTCTCACCGGCTGCACCGTGGGGAGCCCGGCCCTTGCACCACGTAGCCACGCTTAGGCTGATGGGACAAGACCCCCCAGACCCCCTGGCTGTGTGGCCCTCAGGGCCCTGCCCACGCCCACACCTGGCCTGGCCACACCCTGGGCCCAGTACTGGCCCGGAGGAGGGGTCAGATCTGCGTCCCCGTTCTGGCCGCAGCCCTCGCAGGCCAGCCCTGTGGGCACCTTCGTGTTTCCAGCACCGAACGCCGCATCCGGACTTTGTACCTTGGAGCAGCTGACCCAGCAAGCGAACAAATGAATGGCTACTTCTCACTCACTGAAGACAAAACAGCTCAGACCACACCTCCTCCAGGAAGCCCCCCTTGCTTATCCCCTGGTCACAGCTCAGACGCCCCTGTGCACGACTGGTCTCTGTCACCACACTGGCTCCTGGTACAGCCGGAGCCCACACCCACACCCACACCGGCACACAGTGAGTGGACAGCGGATGAATGCCAGGCACAAAGTGACAGGGGGAACAATCGAGGTTGCCATTAACAACACACCCAACACTCTCAGGGAGGAGGGGCCCTGGCGCTAATTGTACCCATTCCACAGACGAGGAAACTGAGGTGCAGGGAGATCAAGCGTCTCAGCTGAGGTCACACAGCTTCCGTGTGGGGAGATGGCTGACAGCACCCCGACCGTGCTCAGAGCAGGGCATCCCCCAGTGCTGGGGAGAAGACAGCACAGGGGGAGATGGTAGGGAGGTGACCCTCTGGGGGGTGCCCAGCTCAGGGACCTGAGGGCGTTGAACACAGGAATAGGGGACTGGAGAGACGGGCGGCCACGCAGACAGTGGTGAGAACAGGGCGCGGCGCCCAGCGCGGGGCTCCGGGGACAGGCAGGATGGGCGTGGGCGGGGTGACAGGGCCCCCCGCTCCCTCAGCCTCCTCCCCCCCCAGCTCTCCCGGGGCCCACACGCAGCAGGGTTTTGAGAAGCTTCATCGCGGGCTAAGCAGCCGGTTCCTGCCGCCCCCACGGAGGTCAGGGCCGAGCCCAGAGCCTGCTCCAACCCCGGGCTGCGTCTTCGGCTCCCACTGGCCCGGGCCAGGCTCCAGCCTCGACGTGGGAACCCCTCGGGCGTCCTCCTCGGAGACGCCGGAGCTCCCGAGGTCCCAGAGGACCGGGGGCCGCGTCAGGACTGAACCCGCCTCCTCACCTCCTTGCTGGAGAGGGAACTGGACCACGGAACGGTCTCTCTGGGACCGAGTTCTTGGGCCCGGCCTTCTGCTGACCCCGGGCACGGCCGCCTGGCCACGGGCAGACACCACGCTTGGCG